GTTAACCTACACTAGTGCTGAGTCCTTTTCGAGCCTTCCTTACTCGCGGAACTTGAAATACACCAAACTAGACTCAAAATGTGACTTGGCAAACTTTGTTCTCGTACAACTGTAAAGCATGGTCACTAAGCATCTGAAACTGAGTGGTGGAACTACCAAAACACTCTCTGCCTCAATAAGGCTGCCTCAGCGAATCACATCACATTAGCAAAGTTCTGACAGTTTTGACCTCGCTCTTTTCAACGATGACAAGATTCGTGGAACCAAGCCAGGCGACAACAGCGACAGTGGCAAAACAACAACATCCAAGTGCCAAACATGGGCAACTGCGCGTTAAAAGTATTTAAGGACAACAGCAGGAAGCTTTTCACCACCAGCACTTCCTCACTTCTTCACTGGTAAGTTCCTCAGGCTCAACATTGAGTTTTCCAATTCATCCTTTGATTTTCAGATGGGTCAACTTCTTCATTATGCCATAACCGGGACATTCATCAGTACCGCACTGATGATTGTTGCCACTTATGTGGTGATTTTTGATGTCATGAATGACATCAGCGAGTTTCAGGAAGAAATTGAAAAGGACCTCGTCCATTTCAAGGCAAGTGGAGAAGTAAACTGATTTTGGAGATTTTGTCCCAGAACACTTTCTCCCGCATAAGGAAAAATGCAACTTTGTGTACTTAATGCCATCTCTCCAGGAGCTCGCCAACGACGCCTGGAAAACGATGATGTCCGCGCACCCAATTCGAGGGGACTCAGACCGCAGTGAATCAAACGGACGTGTACGAAGAGGCGGCTGGAGCGGTGGTTCGTACTCTGAAGGACCTCGAAGAGGCTACGGAGGAGGACAAGCAGCTGGAGCATACGTTGGTGGACGCACTGGCGGAGCATCATATGGAGGTGGGCGCACTGGCGGGGCATCATATGGAGGTGGACGCATTGGTGGAGCAACATATGGAGCACGCATGGGAGGTGGAGCAGCATACGGAGGTGGACGTTCGGGAGGAGGTGGCGGTTGCCAATGTGCTGCTCAAGCGGCGAGATGCCCTCGTGGACCACCTGGTAACTTCAAGACATTGATATTATGAGAATGAGATATTGAAACCTACTTCAGGACCACCAGGTCTACCTGGACTCAAAGGCGAAGATGGAATGCCTGGACAGCCAGGACGACCAGGAGGTGTCGGACAAATGGCAGAAGGTGGTCCGGGTGGAGGATGCATCTCATGTCCTGCTGGACCTCCAGG